AATCAGAAATCCTTGGTTGTCCCACAAACCGGGACATTTGTTTAATAACATGTTTAATGTGCAATAACTGTAAAAACTAATTTCAACACACATACCTATTATACATATTTAATCACGTAAATGTGTATTTCATGTAAATTTGTACATACATCAATCTGATTCCATTTTACTTGTTACACTTCTGCTGCAGCAAACAAATTTCCCTTTTGGGACAATTAAACATTTCTGATTCTCAATTAGATGTTTTTACCTCAAATGCCAGAGAATCCTGGCTCAGTATAAGCAGCCATCCTCCACGACTCACTGGGGATCGAGAAGACAGAGCAGGCAGAGACACACACACACACACACACACACACACACACACACACACACACACACACACACACACACACACACACACACACAAAGACTGTATTTGGTGAAAGATAAACTTTATTGTATTTATCCTAGTGAATAATTAAACGGATAAACTAGTAGTAGCACATCAAGAGTCAATGAAAACAAAAAGTTATTATCAGGAGAGGGAGAATGTTTAAGTGGTTAGCAGCAGTGTGCTAGCCGATGGCCCCCTCCATGAGGCCACCACAGCTCAGCAGAACATCGTTGTAGCTTCTTCTGGAATATGGCCAGTTTTATTAGTCCTCCATGACAACCCAGGGTCCAAACCAGGAAGCAGAGTCGTAGTTTAACCCACCCCTCTGCAGCTTCTGTACTGTTACCCACCCACTACCCCATAGAGACAGTGTCCTGCCCACGGCAGTGTGGCAAGGTGGAGGAACGAGGGCCCAGGCGGGATTCGATCCCCAGACTCCCAGGTGAGAGTCATGCATGCTAACCAGTCAGCCAAAGGGACCTCCCCTTGGCCAAGTAGCCAGAGCGAATGATCAATCGGGACACTGTGACAGGACGCTCACACTGCCACACCAGTGTAAGAAGGTTCAATCTGAGCGCAGAAGCAAAGATCTGAAGGAGAACAGAGTATATCTGAAAGAGAGCAGACATTTTGAGTGTAACCATTACATGTACGCGGCTCATTTACTTGTGATCAGCTGACCTGATACGTTAGGTGAAAGGCACCAGACCGCCGTTTCCCCCTCAGATGTTCTGCTTCCAGAGCGACGCATTAGGGTGGAGGCGTCGGAGGTGCTAGCCACGCCGGAAGTGTGTCCTGCTGCGTATGGAAGATGGGTCATCTGTGACGCTTTCTATCCTCGTCATCGTCGTCTTCCTTCACTTATCCGGGTCCGGGTCGCGGGGGCAGCATCCCAACTAGGGAGCTCCAGACCGTCCTCTCCCCGGCCACCTCCACCAGCTCCTCCGGCAGGACCCCAAGGTGTTCCCGGACCAGATTGGAGATGTAACCTCTCCAACGTTTGGAGCAGCTTTCTATCCTCAGCTTCATATTTACCTCCTAAATGTTCTTCCCACTGTGGTCGCTCTCGCCACGACCAAGTTTCTATCTGCAGAGCTTGTTTTGCTACAGCGTCCAGCTCAGCTCTCAGTGGGCGGGTCACACCTGTGACTGGATACGACTCACAGCCTTTCGCAGTCTGGGAAGAACACTTCTCCGTCCTGTTGTGACCAAGGCGCTGCAGGAGCTTACGTTGTGGTTCCACAGAGCCGCTGTCCAGTTAGAGTTCATTAGGTGGTTCAGCGCTGCTCTCTGTGTGTGCTGGATCAACCATGACCAGTATTAGACCACACCTTTCTGTACTGACAGTAAATAACGTAGATGGGTGCTGCCCTCAAGCCTACTGGTTGTGCAGCACCAGGCTAAAGGTCAAAGGTGACAGACCATCTGCTGCTGTGGCCCCCAGACTCTGGACCTCTCTCCCCCTGAGCCTGAGATCAGTGGACTCAGTGGTCTCCTTTAAACTCACCTGTTCAGGTTTGGTGGGACCTTCTGTTCATCCTGAGTTTCTGTTATTTCTGCTTATTTGCCTGTTTTTACATTTTTATTCTTAATCTTTATTTGTTTACATTCTTGTGCTGCTGAAGGTCCTCAGTCATCCAGGTCATGGTGACCCATAAGGGTTCAGAGAGTAAATGAGGAGCTTTGGCAGTTCTGACTGGAATATGGGAGAGTCCAGCTTATAGCTGTAGCGGTTGTTGTTTAACGAGCAGAAACTACTCTGAATACCCCTCCTCTCCATCCCCTGATGAGTCATTGTGTTGATCAGATGCAGGAAGGTGTGACCTGGACTGAAGCTGCTTAGGAATGAGCTGCATTATAGGTACTGGAAAGGTGAAATCTAAGCCCCGCCCCTATTTAAAGTGAGTTTTTCATGTTTCACACACACACACACACACACACACACACACACACGCACGCACGCACGCACACACACGCACACACACACACACACACACCAGTACCTGTGTCCATGCTGATGAAGCAGTCCCAGCTGATGGATGATCCTGAAGTGGTAGCAGGTTTTCTTTAGCCGTGTTTAGCTAACAGCTGCAATAGAAACAAAGCAGGAGAGCTGATTAAGATGCTGCTTCAGAACAACGCAGGAGATTAAAGATCCAACGCTTTGGTTCTGATCAGCTGAGGACACATCCAGTCTGGAAAAGAGGACCTTTGCTCACCAGAGTTCACGGAGTAGAGCTAACCGCTTTTTCCTCCAGAGTCACATTCAGATTCGGGCCTTTTCCGTCGGAGAGTGTGAGCAGGATGGATGAGAGAGCGAGCAGCGATCCTGCATCATGACCAACTCAGATGAGCGAGTCTGATAGAGGGAACCTCTTCAATCTGATGAAAGCAGCAAAACGAGCGCGTTTCTCAGAGAGGCCAAAGGAACAGCAGCAGATCCAGAGGGCAGGAAGTCTAGAGAAAAGCTTTTCTCACCCATCACCTGCTTTTACCTGTGTCAAGCCAGCCTCCAGTTTATTGTCGGTTCCCCGTCGATTCAAAGTATTACAGAAAGGGATGTGGAAACCGGATTTCAAAATAAAAGTAAACTTCGAGTAAATTATCAGATATTTTAAGAACATAATAACAAATAATTTAGGCTTGTTCACTATTAGCGGCCTGTCAATATCAAGGCCATCTTATTTTGGATTTCAAAGTAAAAGCCCTGTGAATTTTCATTTTTGAACTACTCTATCAATGACTTCAGAATGCTCTTAAAAGCAAAAGTCATATTTCCAAAGAGCAGTTGCATTTTGTATCAACACTATCAAACCACAGCAATTTGAAATTGCCCATATTTGACTGACTCTTTAACGATTTCAAAATGCTCTAAAATGGAAAATTGCTGTTTCCACAGGGTAATTCCACTTTAGATCAACAGTATAAATCCCCACAGTGATACTGTATCAATATCAAGTTATTCTGATGTTGCCTTCCAAAATAAAGGCCTTTTTAAATTGTCCACAATTGACCTAATTTTCAGTGATTTCAAAATGCTTTAAAATGGAAAATTGCTGGTTCCACAGGGTAATTCCACATTAGATCAACTGTATACAACCCCACAGTAATACCATATCAATATCAAGTCATTCTGATGTTGCCTTCCAAAATAAAGGCCTTTCAAATTGTCCATAACTGACCTACCTTTAACGTTTTCAAATGCTCGAAAATAGCAAATTGCTGTTTCCACAGGGTATTTCCACTTTAAGTCAACAGTATACAACCCCACAGTGAAACCATATCAATATCAAGTCATTCTGATGTTGCCTTCCAAAATAAAGGCCATTTTAAATTGCCCATACACGACCAAACTTTTAGTGATTTGAAAATGCTCTAAAATGGAAAATTGCTGTTTCCACAGGGTAATTACACTTTAGATCAACAGTATACAACCCCACAGTGATACCATATCAATATCAAGTCATTCTGGTGTTGCCTTCCAAAATAAAGGCCTTTTTAAATTGTTCACAATTAACCTAATTTTCAGTGATTTGAAAATGCTCTAAAATGGAAAATTGCTGTTTCCACAGGGTAATTCCACTTTAGATCAACAGTATAAAACCCCATATAAACCCCAATAACCGGAGGAAGTCATCTTCTAGCCAGCTGGTGATCGCTGATACACTCTAGTAATTCAGACAGTTTATAGAACTCAGTATCCTTAAAGGAGCAATACAGATGAATGTCATCTGCATATAGGTGATAAGAGACATTATGAAAAGAATCAAGTATCTGTCCAAGAGGGTGTACGTACAGCAGAAAAGAATGTAAAGCGGTGTACCCCGCAGAACAGATGGGTAGAATCTGACATTATTTGGTTTCTACAGACACTGTAACTTCTGTTAGAAAGGTACGATCTAAACCAGTGTAGAACAGTTCCAGAGATCCCCATTGAGTCACTTAGTTAAGGTGCTGTGATCAACAGTGTCAGAAGCTGCAGAAAGATCCTCATGTAATCCCTCTGATCTCTATTAAGGTATCGCGACTCAGGGTTGCGAATGACCACAGTCACCAATTCTTGTCATGTGTCTTTGCCTACATATGTTTAATCTCCAAATTGTGTGTACTGAAACTCTAATTTCCCTCTGGGATTAATAAAGTATTTTTGAATTGAATTTGAAGATCTAATAATACTAACACTGTGAACTCCCCGTTGTCTGCAGCCATCATGATGTCACTGGAAACTTTAAGCAAGCTGTTTCTGTTGAATGCTTTTTACGAAAACCAGACTGGAATTTATCAAAGCTGTCGTGTAGTTCCAGAAAAGTAATCAGCTGATCTGCCACAACCTTTTCCAGTATTTGGGTTGAAGGGTAATTTAGAAATGGGTCCGTAGCTTTTAGGCTGAGATGAGTCCAAACTTGTTTTATGGACAGGTTCAACAACTGCATGTTTGAAAACAGATGGTACAGAGTGTAAAAGAGTTAATTTACATCTAATTAAGGACCCGTAAGACATAAGATTTCATAGTAAATATGAAATCAATCTTACGGACAGTTGGGTTATTTTAACCAGAAGATTGGGACTTTTTATTGCAGGGATTATGTAACACTTGTATTAAGTCAGAGACAAGAGAAGAAAGTCACATTTAAAATGTTTAAGATTTATTTCTTAACAATTTAAACAATTTTAAACAAGACTAACTCTAAACTCTAAGTGATGAATGGATCTTGGTGTGAATGAGACATGAGATGAATGGTGTATGTGTGAGTGATGTTGTCATCAGAACTCTCGTATCCGGAGAAGCAAGCCTGAATGATGTTGTGATGTTTTGCTTTTGCTATGATTGGCGTTTCATAAACACATGAGATGCCATCTTGTCGCTCCACACTAGGGTTGTCACGGTAACCGGTGTAGCGGTAAACCCCGGTAAAAAAGTTGACAATAATAACCGTCTTGTTAAAAAAAAAATTTAATCTTGGTGGGTTTACCGTGGCTGCGGTGTAGGCGCGGTGACCCTTACCAGCCACCGTATCATCTGCAGAAATTGCCGGCAGCACATGCGCACTTTGATGTTTACAACCAAAACTTTCTTGAAGCTAACGCTGAAATAATGGTCAAAGGAGGAGATGGCAGCCTTCAGGACATTTTTTATCCCTCAAAGAAGACAAAGTGGGAAGTACGGGCATCTTTTGGATATTTGAAGAATGCCGAGGGACAGCTGATAGAAGACGGCTATCCTGTTTGCAGCACGAGCAGAAAAAGTGTCTGTGAAAGGCAGCAACGCTTCAAATCTCATGACACATCTGCGTGACCATCAACCACAACTCTACAGTCAACGCAAGGCAAGCTAACGTTAGCATTTTAGCTAAAATGCGTGATCCGAGGATTTGGGTTGAGGGAGAATGCAACGAGTCGCTATATAAAGCAGCCGCAGCGCCGCTACCTGCATATAAACCGTGTCGCGGACACCGCCATGTTGAAATGACGCTATGCATTACGGGGCTCCCAGGGGCAGATAAGAGTTGGTCTCTCTCCGAGAATAATTATGAATTTAACAACGATTACTGCCTGATGACATTTTCCCACATCTGCAAAGCTCACTGGAAGGACACAAACCGAGGACAATTTTTTCCTGATATTGGGTTTATTACTCAAGTAAGGGTAAAAAAGTATCTGATTAGAAGGCTACTTGAGTACTGAGTATCATCTGATCTAATATTTTTAAAACGATGACATCAAACAGACATAAAATAAGAAGTTATGGGCAAATATTGGTATTTTAAAGACTAAAGGGGAAAATGTAAACAAATAAACAACATAATTACAAAATAACACATTTTAGGCAAAATTTAGACACAAACTGAGGACAATATTTCCTGACATACAGGGTTTATTTGTGTGAAAATGTAACGCGTTTAAAAAAAATACCGCGATAATACCGAAAACCGTGGTAATTTTGGTCACAATAACCGTGAGGTTAAATTTTCACACCGTGACAACCCTAATACAGACCATTTTACATTACGTGTGATCAGCATGTCTAGTGTAGCTAGATTAAAGTCATATTACTTATTACAACATATTAATCATAACATTGTCATTTAACAGATCTGTCAACATTATATTATTGACTAACACTTTGATTAGCTTTATTAAAAATAGAGTTCTTTGATTTATTAAAAGGAAAGAGTCCTTTGTCTTCATTATTCTCTTGGGCTGGAAAGGAAGCAGTTTAGAAGCAAATGCATGACCTTGAGGCAGTCTCCTGCAGCTTAGTTCTGTGTCAGAGGCATCTGTGGAGAGAGGGTAAATAACCTTCGGTGGAATGGCTCCTCCGTCACGTTACAAGAGCAGATTTTAGGGATAAATTAATAAAATTTACAATGCATGGGTCAGTCTGGTCAAACATCCTGATGAATAAGGTAGTAGGATGGAAATCAACAGGGCATGAGGTTGGTTTCATGTGTTTCTGACTGAGGCAAATGTCCTGGAAATCTACAGGAGTAAAGAAGGACCATGATTGAGAGGGAGGGGGTTGGATGGGGGTAGGGTGTAGATGGGGGTGAAAAACTTGCCCTGATTTTTCTGATTTTATTCTCAAAGAATGCTAGAAAGTAGTTACAGTCAGACCTTGTTTAAACTGGCATAAGAGGGGCATGAGGTGAAACAATCTGGAGTGGGCAGGTCTACGATTGGCATTCCTGAGTCTGACCGCAGAGGGGAATAAACTGTTTTTGTGGCGAGAGGTTCTGATCCAAATCTCTCGGAACCGCCTGCCAGATGGGAGCAAGTCGAAGAGACTGTGTCCAGGGTGAGACGGGTCAGCTGTTATCCCATCTGCACGCTTCAATGTCCCAGAGGTGTACAGGTCCTGTATGGAGGGGAGTTGGCAGCCAATGACCTTCTCAGCAGAGCGGACGCCACGCTGCAGTCTCCTCTTGTCCCTGATGGTGGCTCCAGCGGTGATGGAAGAGGTGAGGATGGACTCGATGACTGCGGTGTAGAACCGCCTCATCGACTGTACTGACAGGTTTAATTTCTTCAGCTGCCTTGGGAAGTTCATCCTCTGCAGGGCCTTTTTACGATGGAGGTGATGGTGGGCTCCAACTTAAGGTCCTGGGTGATGGTGGCTCCCAGGAAGTGACAAGAGTCCACCATCGTGGACTGGGTGTTTAGCACCAGGTTGTTGTGGCTGCACCAGGACACCAGCCGTTCCACCTCCTTCTGTAGGCAGACTCATCCCCGATGACGGTGGGGTTGTCCGCAAACGTGACAAGCTTGACAGACTCGTGGTTGGAGTGCAGCCGTTGGTGTACAGGAAGAAGAGCAGAGAGGAGAGAACACAGCCCTGAGGAGAACTGGTGCTGATGGTCTGCAGGTCAGAGACATTCTTCCCCAGCCTCATTTTCTGCTTCCTGTCCGTCAGAATTGGGTCAGGCACGTTCATATGGGACAGTTTGACTTGGAGGAGGTCTGGGAGGACTGTGCTGACCAACCAAACCTGAAACCACTGACTAAACAACTAAACTAAACATTAAAGATGTAAGAATTACAATAATGTTTATGTTTATTCATTTCGCAGACGCTTTTATCCAAAGCGACGTACAATTTTTTTTTTAACCTATAGGGCATAATAATCATTGGAGTTAAACTGATGCTTTGTGTGTTGTGTGGACTCTCATGTGACTGTTTAAACTTGACTTTACACTAAATCTCTGTCCACAGAGCTCACAGGCAAAGGCTTCTGTCCTGTGTGGACTCTCATGTGTGTACATAAATTTACCTTTTGAGTGAATCTTTGTCCACAGAGCTCACAAACAAAAGGCTTCTGTCCTGTGTGGGTTCTCATGTGAACGTCTAAATGGTCCTTTCGGATAAATCTTTGTCCACAGAGCTCACAAACAAAAGGCTTCTGTCCTGTATGGACACTCATGTGTCTGTCTAAATGTTCCATTCGAACAAATCTTTGTCCACAGAGCTCACAAGCACATATATCCTGTCCTGTGTGGACTTTTTTGTGTCTGTCATAATTTCTCTTATGTTTATATTTTTGCCCACAGTGCTCACAAGCAAAAGACTTCTGTTCTGTGTGGACTCTCATGTGAGTGTTTAAACCTGCCTTATGAGTAAATCCTTGTCCACAGAGCTCACAAGCAAAAGGCTTCTGTCTTGTGTGGACTCCCATGTGTCTCTTCGAGCTTCCCTTTTGGGAAAATCTTTTCCCACAGAGCTCACAGGCAAAAGGCTTCTGTCCTGTGTGGATACTCTTGTGTCTTGTTAAAGTTGACTTCACACTAAATCGTTTCCCACAGAGCTTACATGCAAAAGGCTTTAGCTGACAGTCAGAATTGTTGCCATCCTGGTCATCATCTTCATCTTCGCTGACTTCAGTCTCTGAAGAGTTGGAATCATCTTTATAAAGTTTTGGATCTAGATTCCTGGTACGTTTTGCTCCTCCATAGTCCTCTCTACCACTTTCTGCTTTCATCTGGTCAGTGGTGCTGCTGGTTGGAAGATCTCCATCTTTAGGTTGGTTCTGATCAAACTGTGACAACAGAACTTCTCTTCCTTCTTCCTTAAACTGACGAGAATCTGCAGAGAATGAAATGTTGGTGGCATCAGTTTTAATCTCATCAAGCTGCTCCTCCTCTTCCTGCTTCATGTTGAGGGGCTCCATGTCCTTCTGGTTCAAAAGAGGCCTCAGTTCTTCAGGAGCTGGCTGCTTCACCATTTGCTGAACACCTACAAACACAGACACAAAAACATTAAAGCAGCAGGATGAGATATTTTTATACTGTTCAAGTAAGAACTGTGTAGCCTCCAGGAATGGTCAGTTTTTCATCTACAGTCTGACCTCTTCAGTATCTGGCCATATGGAGACATAAGTCTTAACTGGTGGTTTCAATCTGCAAGAAAGATACTGTTGCTTGGCCAAGGTTCCTCGCAAGCTCACTCCTATCCAAGACTGGTTTTTATTCATTTTCATTGTGACTCATATATTGTACAACCACAGTCATAAAGTTTTCAATCAGTAGTTTTATTTCAGTATGTATTTTTCCAGTATCACAAAAAATATAATTTTATATGGTTAAAACCATCTAGCTTATGTGCACTTTTTAAAACACTGCCCAGCAAACATTCGGACGTTTAATGACAGTTGAACGGTCACAACTGTAAAATAATATCACAGGAATTAGGAAAGAATAACACAACATCTACTCTATTTGCCTTGCCTGGACTCGAACCTGGATCCTCCAGGGGGAGAGTCACCCGCTCTCCCAGCTGAGCTAAGACAGCAACTACTGAATACCAGATTCTTTTATATAGATAGGTAGAGGGTACAGTGCGGGGTAAACTAACCAATCAGAGGACAGAGAAGATCTGCCACAGGCCACGCCTCCAGAGTGCCAAAACCCCTTCACAGCCGAGCAAGCAGAGTCAGAAACCGAGCGCGCAGAGAGGCTGCCGCACGCGCACGTTTTCCTCTGCCGTGTGCTCGTTGGCAACGTGCGCACGCAGGTTTGTCACTTGTGCACGTCCTTGTGCGCTCACAGACACAGTTTGCTCCCTCTCAGTGCACAAATGACCTCTCGCTATGTATATTTTCACTCGCGAGTCCCGTTCACACGCGCGATGTGGACCGAATCCGCGTGCACGGGTTGTGGCACGCCTCTGACACCATATAGTTGTCATGTTTTTAATAGTTTAGAAAGTAAATTTCTTATTTTTTATAAACTTGACTGTCTGAATTCATACGAAGTGTCTTACGATCCCTGACTAAACAAAGAATTCTAAATCTTCTGGTTAAACATTCAAAGACCAATCAGATTGGATTTCCATATTTATATAGAAATTCATATCTTATTGGTCAAATGTAGTGTAGTATACTGAGCTTTAAAAGCACCCAAAACACATAAGTATGCTATAGAGCTCCGGACCCCACGTGACTCTCAGTTAGTGGACGCCATTTTGGCATGCAAAAAAGGTAAACAAACACGGATGTAACCATGAACATGAACGGGATCCGCTTGGATTTTACTTCGTCGGAGTTTACTTCACACTTTAAAACAGAAGAAATCGTTTTATATAGTCAGAAATTAAATAGACTAAACATCTCCGACCCTTACCGTGCCCCTGGGATACTTTTTAAAAACGCCAGAAGCTGTCGTAGCGGACTTCTTACCGGCACAACACCGGACCTGGCCGGGGAAACCCCTTGGGATTCCCCCGGCCGGAGGAGCTGGGGAGAAGGTCTGGGACTCTCGACTCTACTGCCCGCTCCGACGCCAGAAGCTGTCAGAGCGGGCTTCTTACCGGCACAACACCGGACCTGACCGGGGAACCCCTTGGGATTTACCCGGAGGAGCTGGCTCCGGCGGCTGGGGAGAGGGAAGTCACGCTACTGCCCCCGCAACCCGACTCCGGATACGCGGATGAAAATGGATGGATGGACGGACAAATAACAGATTTACACGTAAGTAGTCTCTGTGAGACAGAAATAGCAATCCAAATTGCTTTTTATGTGTGATCTGACAATTGATCAACCATTGCTTAAAAATGAAATACAGCTTAGCCGGTTAATTGCTGTGATCATAAAACACGTAACCGGCAGCACGCAGAACTCACGAGGCAACGTTTTACGTGATGTTTACTTGTTGCTATGAGTAATAAGACAGAAAAAGCCACGCCAAAATAAGTTTAGGAAGCCCACTAAGAATCGTAATAAAAGCATTTAAAATAAATACCATACACAGTTGAGGAAACGTTGGTTTAAGTACCTGATATGAAGCGGTCGCTGCATAAGCGAAAACCTTTACTCTCTGGATCCCACAGCTTCATTTTAGCCCGGTCACTAGCGCGTTTTATTACAATGATCCAACGTTTGCGACGCTCCGGATCTTGGGGAATCCTGTAGAAGGCTCATTCCTTATGTCGTCCGCGTCTGTTCTACATCCTGGGGCACAACAGGAATCTACCATATTTCCTGTTTGATTGAGTTTTCTGACAATAACAAATAGTCCAGCTGCCGGCTTCTGCATGCCAATATGGCGCCGTTTCGATTTGAACTGTTGCATGCTGGGAGAAGTGACGTCAACTCCCGGAGCTCTATTCCTACAACAGTTTGAAATAAATTAAACAACCCAATGAGATTTACATTAAATGAACACACAAGTCCACTGTACTAGGAAGGCAGGAGATGTGGTTCAAAAAGTTATTTTACAGTTTTTAAAAATAATTATTCAAAAGAAGACCTAAATGAAAGAATTAAATAATTACTAAATAGTTTTAGTAATTATTTAATTATTTCATTAAAATGGCTAGAAAACTAAAAACTACTAAAACCCAGGCTAAGGTTTACCAGTGGATGACTGGGAGGTTGAATCTCAATAAAGAAAATATAACTTAATCAAAAGGTAGCCCAAGTACTCGTGGCCATGCATTCAGGAGTGAAAGAATCCTTACACACACATGAAGATGGACCACCAGCCACCACCTTCAGCTCTCAGCCCGTAACATAAGATAAATTAGTCACAAATAAGAAAACTTGAACCAATTACCTCAATCAATCAATCAATCAGTTAGAATTAATTGTCACTTCAGCCATATACGGTTTGTACACAGTGAGGCGAAACAACGTTCCTCCAGGACCAAGGCGCTACATGCAACATACATTTACAGCATAAAAATAACAGGGAGATCACTAAACTAAGGACAGAACAGACTGACCTAACATGACATGTCCTCTTTAAGTAGGTAGTACAAAGGAAAAAAGAAAACCGTAAACATACTTAGTATGTAGGTGGTAAAGAATCATAAAAAAAACATGCAAAGAAAAACATGAGAGTGTGTGTGTGTGTGTGTGTGTGTGTTTGCGTGCGTGTGTGTGTGTGTGTGAGCATGTGCGCATGCGCGCGTTTATCAGTCCAGTCCCTTTATGTTGAGGAGACGAATGGCTTGTGGAAAGAAGCTGTTGCACAGTCTGGATGTGTGTGCCCAAATGCTTCGGTACCTTCTTCCAGATGGAAGGAGTGTGAAGAGTGTGTGAAAGGGGTGTGACCAATCAGCCACAATGCTGGTGGCTTTGCGGATGCAGCGTGTAGAGTAGATGTCCTTAATTGAGGGGAGAGAGACTCTGATGATCTTCTCTAATGTTCCCACTATCCGCTGTAGTGTCTTGCGGTCAGAGATTGCACAGTTACCAAACCAGGCAGTGATACAGCTGCTCAGGATGCTTTCAATAGTTCCTCTATAGAAGGTGGTCAGGATCAGTGGGGGAAGCTGGGCCTTTCTCAGTCTTCTCAGAAAGAAGAGACGCTGTTGGGCTTTCTTGAGCAAGAAGCTGTTGTTGAGGGACCAGCTGAGGTCTTTGTCCAGGTGAACTCCCAGGAATTTGATAACACTGACGATCTCTACAGAGGAGCCGTTGATGCTCAGCGGTGAGTGGTCATGTCGTATCCTCCTAAAGTCAACAACCATCTCTTTTGTCTTGTCAACATTCAGAGACAGGTTGTTGTCCTTACACCAGTTCGTTAGCCTCTGCACTTCCTCTCTGTACGCTGACTCGTCGTTCTTGCTAATGAGACCCACCACGGTTGTGTCATCAGCGTACTTAATGATATGATTTGAACTGTGTGTTGCTACACAGTCATGAGTCAGCAGTGTGAACAGCAGAGGACTGAGCACACAGCCTTGTGGGGCCCCCGTGCTCAGTGTGGTGGTGCTGGAGGTGCAGTTCCCAATCCGTACTGACTGAGGCCTTCCAGTCAGGAAGTCCAGGATCCAGTTGCAGAGGGAGGTGTTCAGGCCCAACAGGCTCAGTTTTCCTATCAGTTGTTGGGGGATGATCGTGTTGAACGCTGAGCTGAAATCTATGTACAGCATCCGAACGTGTGTGTCCTTCTTGTCCAGATGTGTGAGGGCAAGATGGAGTGCAGTGGAGATGGCAAAGTCCACATACTGATGGAATCTAGGAAGCACTGACTGGAGGTTTGCATGGTTAAAATCTCCAGCAACAATGAACAGTCCATCCGGATGTGTGTTTTGCAGTTCACTGATGTTTGTGTACAGTTCTCCCAACGCTTCCTTAGCATTAGCGCTAGGTGGAATGTACACTCCAATAAAAACAGTGGTGAATTCCCGTGGTAAATAAAAAGGTCTGCATCTAACGGTCACAAACTCCACCAGCGGTGAGCAATAGCTAGAAGCTAGCACAGAGTTCTTGCACCATTTCGCGTTGATGTAAATACACAGGCCGCCACCGCGAGTCTTACCGCACAGAGCTGTGTTTCTGTCGGCACGAAACGAGGCTGTTAAAAATACCAAATACACGCTCACACACACACACACGCCTGTTCAGCGCTGGTGGTCCTTCTACAAGACTTCCCACAGTGCTTTTTCCTGTTGCAGTCCCTTAACCAGTGATACTGCTGGAGCGTCCTAGCACAGGGTATCTGCAGGTTTAAGGGAGCCAAATTTAAGACTTTTTAAGACCTTTTTTAAGGCCATTTGACCAAATTTAAGCAATTTTTTTAAATAAATTTAAGCTATAATTTCCACCTATTGCCTGGAACCGGTGCTAACCACGTCGCCAACGTGGGATTAGCCATCCAATTACCATTAAACTTACACTTCCCCATGGCGCAAGCTTCGACTAGCTTATTAACCAGCTAATGTGCTCATCTAAAAATAGCCCCCTTTCACAACCAACTGAATGTGTATGGTTCCGCTTACGGCAACATCGTACACAAAAAATGCTGAACACTAACTAGAAATTTATGAAAATTTTATAGAAATAAAAGAATCTTGTTTATTGGGTCTTTGGACATTTAAGACCTTTGGAAACTGTATTTCAGGATTCTTTGTCATTTTTAAGGATTTTTAAGGCCTTAAATTTGGAAAAGCAAATTTAAGACTTAAGACTTTTTTTTAACTTTTTTTTAAGTTAATGAGAGAAGTTTAATGAGAAATT